TGCGAGGAGGGGATTTGGGAGTGTCGGCGCCCATGTTGTCGATGCTTTGCACAGATATCCACCCTCTGACACCTCCGATATTGTGCGCCGACCTGTGTCTGTTCTATACCATGCCTCGCGTGGTGTCTTCCGATGCGTCGGGGTCAGCGTTCGTTCGTTCGGAGCTCGTGAAGTCGATGGGGCGACGCGTCGGTCGGCTCTGGGGAAGCAGGAGGGAAAGTTCACGTAGAGCCGCAGAAATTTGGGTGACTCAGGTGCGATTTCTGCAGGGGTGCCTGAGGCGTCAGTTGTCAGCCAATTACTTTGCTTCGAAGAAGGCAGCAATGGCCAGTGGCCCGTGCCTGCCCGTTCTACCCCAGGTGGTCATCGGCAATGGGGTTTTTGTTTCTGTCATGGCATACCTAAAATCGACGGTGGAGGATGGTGGTTTTGCTTTCCTAACGCGAAGTTGAACCAAAGCAAATATCGATATATCGGTAAAGTGAAGTCAGAAAAGTCTGCTTGTGGGTGACAATATGGCCAAGCGTGCTTTCTGTGTTCGTAATGGCATTTGATGATGGTGGATGTGGAGATAAGTTGTGTGAGATGGTAAGAAGCTGGTCACCGCGGTAAGTCAACTTTGTAGAAGTTGGAAGCGGAAAGGAAAAGGTTTGCACAAGTAGGTACTGAGGTGCCTAGCTGAGAGAGACAGACAGCCCGAGGTCGTTGATGGACGGGAAGGTCCTACCTAGGTAAGGTACCTACTTAGACAGGAGAGGAAGAGTGGGTCGTGTTCACTTACACGGGAGGAAAGAGCAAAAACCGTCTCTTGAGGTCTACCTTCCTCAAGGTAGGTCCAGATTTCTGAGCTACAAACCTTATACCTAGCCATGCTGACATGCCTACTTCATCTTCGAGTTGTAGTCATCTCCTATGCCTGAGATACCAATCAAGGCATCGTAACTTGTCCTTGTTCAGAGTATCCAGATCCATGGCAAACAAGGAAACTTTTGACAAGCTGCCACCCTTCTGGCCTTTCAAGACATCCATCTCCACATCAATCGCTTTTCTGAATCGCATTTCCCCAGACTCGTTCTTTCACTAATGCGGCATAGCGTCAAGCCAAATATGCTTCACCAATGAACAGGACAAAAAGCCACGTTTAATCTACCTACTTGCCCATTGTCGACTCCAACCTTGATTGCGAGTGGCTGGCTGAGAATCGACCCGCTCCGATCATCTCACGCAATGCAAGACAAGATCTGCTATAACATTCGCAACTCCGCAATCTACACGCGAAGAACCGTAAGCTAGTCGACTCCATCCCGACATTCGAATACATATATTACCAAATCGCTGCAGAGTAGAAATGCTATGCGAAGATACGCAGCATTGAACGTTCGTTTGATACGTTTTTGTATTTTCACAATCTGTGTATCTCCGATGAAGGAACAGATTGCATACGCGTACAGATAGCATCCTTCCAAGACGGTCTTAATGCGAGGTAGTCTTTTGACGCCCACCGTCTGCCTCTTCCCTCTGATAGTCAGAAAAAAGCCTTTTGTGCAAACTCCATACGCCCTTTTCTTAGTAACGAGTAACAATGACCCTCCCGCCATACTCCTGCTACCCCTATCCTAACTTTGATCCCCAACGGGCCCTTGAATGACGGCAATCACTTGCAACGCTTCTCCACGATGCTGACACCGTTCTCCTCGTACTCCTTGCGCGAGATCCACATCTGGTGGAAGGTGCCCAAGCTAGCCAGGATGCTGCCGCCGATCCAGGCGCCGAAGCGACGCTCGCTGGAGAGACCGGCAGCATGGATCTTGATCTTGAGGCCGGGGTACATGGCCGTAAGCTCATTGTTCAGACGGTCGTTGAAGCCGTTGAGCAAGCTGGTGCTGCCAGTGACAACAATGTTGCCGAGGAGGTTGGGACGCAGGTCGACGTCGACAGCGTTCAGGGCGGCGCGGATGAGCTCGGGGATCGTCTGCGACTTGTTCAGGCGGAACTCCTCGTTGGTGGTCGGGAACGCCGCGGTCTCGTCCCACATGCCCTCGGAGACCTTGTACCGCTGCTCGCGCCACATCTGATTCGCGCCGTTGGGGAACTCAAACACGCGGCCGGGTTGCGTCTTAGCGAACTCCTCGTTTTGCGGCACGGCGTACTTGCCGGGTCCGCGCCAGGTCTCGACCACTGACTCCTTGAATTCCGTAAGGAGACGGTCGTCCTCGTAGGCGCGGAATGAGTCGGTGATGGAGAAGTCGAACTTGCGTTCCTTGAACTGAGCAGGAGCACCTGCATCGACGGGGGTCTTACTCTCGACCATGTATGTAGGAACGGGCTCGATCTTGGGCTCTGAGGTCTCCCATAGGCTGCGAATCTGGGACGACAGCCACAGGCCACCAACGGGAGACTTCTGGATGGATCGCTTCAGGACCATGCCGTCGTGAATAGCTGTAACCGAAGTGTTGGAGCCGCCGACGTCAATGACCAGGGCGCTCGCTTTGCCAGCGGCAAAAGCAGCCAGAACGGGCGTTCTGCTGAGCCAAAACGCAGGGCAGCCCCAGTTCTCCATGATAATTTCAATGGCCTTCTCTCTAGACTTTGCAGAGTTCCACGGCGCCTCTGTCATCAGGAGCGGGTTCTCTTGCAGGGCCTTCTCTTGCGACTCCACGTCCTCCATGGCCACGTCGACGTCGCCGTTGGCCTCACCTCCCTCGACTTCCTCCTTGGGGTCATCATTCAGGCCGTTCTTGGACGGGTGAGTCGGGCGTCCGGGCTGGAGGCGTGTGATGAGCATGTGCTCCCAAAGCTTGTTGGCGACATCCCAGTCCTCGACAACACTGTCGCGCGTCATGTAGTTGCGGACCTCAAGGTCGGCCCGGGGGATCAGGCACTCGTCGCCGAAGACGGTCGTCGGGGTATCGGAGGAGCCAACGCGGCCGTAGAAGGACGGGAAGACGGACTTGGGGACATCTTCGCCAGCGAATCCGGCGCGGGTGCTGCAGTAGCCTGGGTCGAGGACCAGGGCGGAGACCTCATCTGTTCGCGATGGTAAGATTGGGTCACGCGTAGAGTACAGCTGGCGGTGGGCACTTACCTCCTCCGTAGATGTCGGTCGGCTGGACGGCCGAGGACAGCGGTTGTTGGGACATGATTGCAATTCGACGTGTGAAGCGACAATCCACCGAAGTAATTGAGATGGTTCGGGGGCGGTGGGGTGGGTTGTTGCGATGCTTCGGTCGATTGAAGGTCGCGTCTGGTCAAAATTTGGCGCGGTGGTTGGAGGAAGGTGCAAGGCTGAGAGATTCCAGCCACACCCCACTGTGTCATAGCGCGACACACTGTACGAGCTCTCGGTGAGAGCTACTGACCGAGCAGGGATGTCTACCATTAAATTACAAAATCGTCACATCCCACCATACAGCACTTGAGCATTGGATCTAAAGAGCGGAGCCTCAATAGAAAGGCTATGCCAGTCACTTTGGCATTTTGAAATATGATTGGACTACGAATCTCGCGCGCAATGGGTATCTCATTTTCGTTTTGATTGTATTCGTTTTCAATTAGTTGCTGATTTCAGGCTTCATGTCACAATATATTCGTCCTCTGACTCGAAATCTCGGCCTTCTCCGTAGAGGACTTCACACGCGCCGGCCAACGGTATGTCCATAACAGCATCCGTCCCCTCGTTCCATATATTCTTCCAGTCGTATCCTCCCCCGGGCAGCCTATGATCTCTCTTATTCCTAGACCTCTTCTTCGGGTCATCCCTCAGCCGCCCCTTGCTGTCAATGACTCCAATCTTAGAGGCATCATCCACCACCGTCTCAATGGAGCTCAGCGGCAGCGTCAGAATCTCCGTATTGTACGCCGCGAGCGCGATGTAAATATAGACCCCCAGCATCGTGAGGAAAGCCGGGATCGCGAGCGACCACCAGCGGTTCGGATAGTAGTAAATGCCCAGCGCGTGGAGGAAAGGCGAGGGCAGGTAGGACCAGAGCAGGTAGACGAGGAAGGTCAGCGTCGAGAATAGGTACAGGACGAAGCCGTAGTATTCGTAGGTCGGCACCTGCGGCGACGCGCGCGGCACGGGCTCAAAGTCGTCGTCTGAGGCATCGGGAGTCGTCGGTCGCGATGGGCGGAGGAGCGATGTCAGTGACGGCGAAGGAGGCAGAGGGGTTGGCGGGCGACCGTAGAAGGGGGGCGCAAAGTAATTTAAGTTGTGATGCAGGGGTCGCGGGGCCGGTAGCTCTTCGTCGTCGTCGCTGGACTCGGAGGCGAAGGATTGGTTGTCAAAGAGGAGCTCTTCTTCTTCGTCTGAGGATAGAGACATCTTGGGCGAGAAGCCCGATTAGCCCGGCCTCTGCTATCAGTGTTGCGACAGTGGAGTTGTGGTGTTGCAGGAGGCAGAATCGCCATTTCCCCAGGTTAGCTCCAGTGGAAACCTAGAATTGGCCCTGTCCGTCCTGCCCCTGTCTACCTACCTTAGGTAGGTACCTCTCATGCACGGAGTAGTGGGGCCGCTTTCTCCTCAAGGTCGGCGCCGATTAGGTAACTTTTGAACTTCCTTTCTTCCCGTTCACCAGACCCTTGGTGTCATCTTCTGTAAATCCATCAGGTTACGAAACTCGTATTAGTCTATAAAAAATTTCTCTTCGATAAGTAAACAGTTGGAGTAATTTATGCCAACATATTTTGCAGGTTCTCGTAGGAATCATTATGGCTTAGAGACCAAGAAGGTGACTATAGCAGTGAGCAGCCCAGATCACTTACACAGTGTTTAACTTCAATGCGCCTTACTTCAATAAAGTCTAGTTATTTTGAATCAAGAATTGACCGATCAACTATTTCCCCGGTCTTTGCCTTTTGATTTATATCGATTCTGACCAGCCTCTGTCTCTTTCCTCTCTCTCCAGACACATCAAGAAGCAAACTATTCCACCCGTGCCACGGATACACCCATCCGCATCATCTTCTCCCAAACGCCTGTCGAAACCAACCTATTCACAAAGTCAGAAAAAAACTCCGGCAAACACCGACGTCAAACTGGTCAGGAAACGGATACACTCACCTCTCCGATTCTCGTCTCTCCTATTCTCACCTCTCCTAGTGCCCGCCGGCTCAATCCAGACCCGATTCCTCAACCCGTTCCTCACCCTCACCGCCTGCGCCCACGTCAACCCAAACCGGACGCTATTATGCATACTACACGCCACGATCCCGCACGTCCGGCACCGAAAGTACACGGCGTACGCCCTCGACCGGCAAAACGTGCACGCGGGCGGCTGGACGCGGTTGTTCATGTCCTCCACCTCCCACGACGCCGGCAGGTGATGGCTGCACAGGGGGTCCTCGGCGTGGATCGCGAATACGGGCCAGGCCCGCGGTGCTCCCGCCCTCTCGCCTAGACGCGCGAGGGGAGGTGGTCGGCGTCTGTTGGCGCGGGGTTCAGGGCGCCACTCTCGGGTTTCTGGCTGGATTATGGGAGTGAGTCCATGTCAGTCGAGGGTTCACAACTAGGGAGAGGAAGATAGGAGAAGGGAAGCCAGATTCTTAGCATACCTCGGTGTTTCTGCCGTCTGGGTAGTACATGATGATGCTGAACCGTCCCTGGCCCTGTCGAATACGGGCTTCCCGGTCCATGTCGTATACGTTGCGCTGATCTATGAACGGTGTTTCTCCCACGGGTTGGAGACCTTGCACTTGCGGCTGGGGAACTCCTACAAACGACAAGTTAGTCCCCCCAAATCTTGTTGATAGCCACAGGTGTGAAAGCGGCAGTCAGAGAGAATTGATACGGCTGGCGTCGATCGAGGACTGTACTGGCGGAGGAGGAAATGGCACAACCATAGGCTGAACCCACATTGAAGTTGCGCGTGCCCCCTCTTATGAATGTCACATGTTCCTCATCCGATGACTGGGCGTGACAGAGGAGTCACTTACCTGCAGGAAACGGTACCCACAAACCATCAAGATTTGCTTGCGGAAAGGGTTGAGCTTGCGGTTGGACTTCCGGTTGAACCTGAGGCGGTTGAGGCGGCGGCGGAGGAGGAGGGAAAGGAGGGTGCTGAAGTACCGGCGTGGGAACAACCAGTCGACCATCTTCCCCAAGTTGACCCTGCTGATATGTCGTCCTCCGATCCCTCATATTCACACGGCCCCAACCTCTGCAATTTTGCACACAGCCTCTCCTCCATATCCCGCCGCACGAGAAGCAGAACTCTTCGCCGCATACGCACCTACACGTCCTCTAATCAGTTCTACTCTCGAAACTTCTTTACTTCACTTTGCTTTCCAGTATAGGAGGAGAGAAAGGGAAAGAAAGGGGGAGGCACAAAAACTCACGTCATGTGCGTACACCCGCCCGCACGCTCGATAATCCTCCGACAACTAGGACAAGGCGAAAAATCAAGCTCGTCCATGACATCCATCAACGCCGCATCCTCAGCCTCGGTGCCACACAGCTGTCCCGGATGGAGCGGTCTCCGACACTGCCGACACGTCCCCTGCCCACATGCAAGACAAGTAGCACCACCAGCAGCCGGTATAAACGCAGCACACTCCGGCCTAGCACAATACACCCTCTCCTCGCCCGGCGTCTCCTCCTCAACCCGAACCTGTCCATACAGCCTCACCAGCCGCGGCCGTCCCTCGCCGGCGGCCTGCTCGACGTTTTCTGGTTGTAGAGGCTGACAGCACCGCGGCGGCCAGCCTCCTGGGCGTAATCCCGCGCGGAGACAGCGCCGGAGGCAGCGGGGGCACATTCGGCAGCCACAAGGGAGGCGGTGGAGGGGTTGTCGTGCCGTGAAGCAGACGACGCATTCCGTTCTGTCGTTGTTGTTGATGTCATTGTCGTCTTCAGCGTCTGAGGTTTCTGCGCTGTTGTTCCGAGTATTAGTCAGAAGGCGATTGCGTTCTTCCCAGCCGATATAACCTCCTGTACCCTCCATGACAACGTTACCGGCGTTATTGTTGGCATCATTATCGTTGGCCTCGTTCTCATCTTCGTGAACAATGGCGTCGTCGCCTTCTATTCCCATGACACTCTGTCTCATGGCAATAGCGAGCTGCTGATCCGGGGTAGCCATCTCGAGCGCCCTAACGGTAGCACGCTCGACCTCCCGTTCCGTCGCAAAGCGCAACGTGTCGAGGTTGAGGAAACCATGTTCAATGATGATGTTTGTAACATCTTCGTCGAGGCGTTGAAAGAGGTCCATCTTTGTAGGTTTGGTCTAGTTCTTTTGCGTTCCATGGGGCAAGGTGTTGCTCTATGTGTGTTGGCTATCGTCTCGAGGAGTATCGATGCTGGATGTCTCTCTTCCTCTCTCTCTAACGGGCTAGTAGCACATTGCCGACCCCTCGGAGCCACAACTGTCAGCGGTGAAGAAGTACTCAAAATGGACATGGAGTTTCCTTCATTCAGCGTCACGAGGCGTACTGACAATCCAGTGAATGTGTTTATCCATCACTATACAGCCCCAGTCACTCTCAATAAGCACCGTACAGACTCCCTTCAATCCGAAGAATAAGAACCCGTATTTACATTATGTGCACGACACATAGGATAGGTAGCACTTCATGGATTCATAGTGAAGCCACAAGGGGGATGGAGGAGGGGGAGCTCTCGAACCATGCTTCTTTCGAAAATAAATATGGAGGTCGATGCTGGAATACGTGCTGCAGTAGATTCTTCTTCCTAGGCCAAGTTTTGCATATTCAAATCGGCCTCAACTCTGCTGGGCAGGTAAAATGTATCTGTTTGCGGAGCTACTATCCGAGAATCAACTTTGCATACGAATCCATGAGAAAGGCACAAACCAACTAGATCAGTAACAAGATATTGATATTTCGCCGTGGGGCATGTGATAGACACGGCCAAAGTACCGGGACAGGATTTCCCACTTTCTACTTCGGACCCAAAGCTACTTTCTTAGGCACGTGTACCGTGGTGTCGAGAAATCGTACCCAGTCACAGGTCACAGGTGTCATGGAAAACAGCAAAGTGTCATTGAACAGTGACGGACTGACTTGACTCAAATTGATAGATGACAAAAGAGCTGCCTTGCCCCTGCCTATCTTCTAGACCGGATGAAACCGGCCTTGTTCCCACCGCTCCGTCATACTAAGGTGTTATGCCCAAAGAGGTGGATTTGATATATCATCGACTCCCTTACGCCATAAAAGCTGACTCCTTCGTCAAACCATAATGGGATATTCTCGTCGACATTGACCGTGATATCTTTACTTGCTTTGTCCAAACGACCGCTGCGCTGCAATATAGTGGCAAGACCTGTTTCCGCCAGAATGAACCCCCAGAACCAACCGCCCATCGGTGGCTATGGCCAATGAACCCCTCCCCATAAACTCCAAACATTGTAAACTCCGACGCTGCTATCCGGGATATGATTTGAAATGACAAAGAAAGAAAAAGAGTGGTAATAGTAACATCAGATATAAAGTAGAAGATGGGTATAAATGATCAATAACTGAAGTCCACATTACCCATCTGGGATAACATCTTTGCTTCCGCTTCCGTCGAGCTCGCAGTCGCGCCGGTGTTTGTTGATGTTGCTGAATTTGAGTTTGTCTGTGAGGTTTGCGTCGTTTGTGAAGTGGAATTTGTCTGTGTTTGTTGCAGTTCGTGTTCCGGTGGGGGTTGACCACTAGGCGACCACCCTTCGTCTAGAATTTGTTGGAAGCTCCAGCTTGGTTCGAACCTGGTGCTGTTCCAGGCGTAGTCGACACGTTCGTACATCTCATCAATCTGCTCAAGACTGATCTTGCTGGTCTCGAAGACCATGCACCACACAAATAGAACGGCCAGAATGCAAAAGGCACCCCAGAGGAAGAAGATCTTGGGACCAATATCTGCATAGCCGGGTCCCTGACCAACCATGAATGGAGTACCGTATGCGATGCCAAAGTTCAAGAGCCAGTTGGAAGCGGTCGAAATAGAAGCAGCCTTTGCACGGATCTTCAAGGGGTATATCTCGGACGTGATGACCCAGCACACGGGGCCCCACGATGCTGCGAAGAAGAATATGTTGATGGCGCAGAAGACGATCAAAATGGTTTGCGCAGCCTGCTGTAGGTTCTCTCCGGCAGCTGTAGAGAAGGAGGCGATGAGGAGTTGACAGACTGCCATGCCGATGGCACCGACCATGAGCAGCTTGCGACGGCCCCATGATTCGATGACAAGGAGTCCCGGGACTGTTCCAACAACATTGATGATGTTGATGATGAGAGCCTTCACGTAAGGGTTCTCAACCCTGGCGCCATCGAAGAAGGACGTGCTGTAGTACATGATGAAGTTGATACCCGTAAGTTGTTGCAGCATTTGAAGGCAACATCCAGTGAGAGTTCTTCGACCAAGATGGGGCGACCCATAAAAGATTTCCTTGTATGAGTCTGGGCCAAGTGTGAGTTCATACTCGTGGTTTGCCACGATTTCCTGGAGCTCGTCGAGTAGGGCGGGATGGGTAATATCGAGGCGACGGAGGCGACTGAGTGATAAACCCGCGGCTTCTGGCTTGCCCTTCTTGACAAGAAAGCGTGGTGTTTCGGGAAGGACGAGGAGACCGAGGGTTAAGACGACGGCCCACACAAGTTGAAGGCCAAGCGGGATGCGGTAGGCGGCGCCCGAGTCCAGCCTTTCGGTCAAGATGTTGACAAAGGACGCAGACAATAACCCAATCGTGATGGATAGTTGGTAGGCGCAGACGAGTGTACCACGAATCCACTTCGGGGCCATTTCTGACTGATAGACTGGGACGAGAACTGAGATAGATCCGACGCCGACACCAGCAAAAAACCTGTGCGTTTGGTCAGCGACGCGTTGCGCGATGAGCCGACACAACCAATCCTTTAAGCATACCTTCCGACCAAGAGCATTGGGATGTCATGCGCGCAGACTTGGAAAATACCGCCAAAGCTGAAGACGCCGGCGGATAAGATGAGCGAAATGCGACGGCCCCAACTATCGCCGATGGGTGCGGCGAGGAGAGCACCGAGGACTGTCCCGGCACTTAGAATTGCGACGATGATGGAGGATTCGGCGGGCGAAATAGCAGGCTTCAGGTTTTCGGTATAACCGGTGGAAAAGTCTCGTCGGAAGGCCGTCATGGAGAGGATACCGTTAATCGTTCTACAGTCCGTCACGAATCAGCGTCCAGGTCTCGGAAGAATCCCCCCACGAACACACGAATATGAGCACCAGCGCCATCGCGTTCTTTTCCTCGTCTCGTTCGTTTGTCGTTGGCGGTGGTGCTCGATCGTATTGCCGCGTTGCGCATAGGGGTTTGCGTGTGCTTACCCAGTGTCGTAGCCAAAGAGCAATCCGCCTGAGGCGACGAACAGACCGACCATGATGGCCGGGGCCGACGAGCCGGCGACATTGTCGGGCTTCTGCCAGCCCATGGCTATCGCCATGGTGAAGGGGGGTTTCGGCTCGAGCAATCCAGAATGGAAGCGTTGTACTATGAGAGGGCGAAACTCTCGAGGGTCGTCGAGAATCGAGGTGGAAATGGGCCGGCGACCATTTGAGTGAAGTGACGGGCGACGGAGACGGGGACGGCGGGCGAGTGAAGAGTGGTGAATCGACGAAGTGTGGGTAACGATGGATGGATAGGATGGAATGGGACAGGACAGGCAGATGGGGTGTGGAGAAGGAAGCAGGGAGACAGGCGAAGGTAAGAAGCACGAAAGGTCGGGCAGTCGGGTCCCGGATACTCTACGACTAAGGTAGTCAGTCAGTCCAGTCCAGTTCGGAAGAAGGAGCCACCAAAAAAGCCACCACCGCCCACCTACTGCGTACATACGCCCACCACAGTGGCACAGTGGGAGTCTGAGAGTCTGGGAGTTCTGGGACTGAGAGAACGGGGGCGGCGAGGCACCTCAGAGGATGGGGGCCTGGGGCACAGAGAACACTGTGAACAGCGCGAGTCTGGGGTGTGTGGAACCCAAGACGGAAGATGAACCAGTCAGAAAGATGGAGGGCAAGGGGAAATATGGAGATGGAGGGCGGGCAAGAAAAGCAGCAAGGCTTTCCCGCTTCCAGTTCTCGCCTTACCTCAGCACGCTCAGGTCAGCGCTCTCTCTCGAGTCTCACCCCCGCCATTAGCACACAGCACACAGCATCAGCGCGGAAAA